ACAATGCACAGAGAGTTCCATAATTGGCACCTTGGAAGATCTGAAAATATAAATTAATACCACTATACAAAACATAATTCTGAAAATATGGCTTCACAAACTTTTCCATCCCCTTTAGATAATAACAACTGTCTCTCTTAACAAAGTTTACCTGAATGTTGGAAGGTAACATGTTTCTGTGAGCCTTGTACATAAACAGTAAAATATTAGAATCAACCAAATCATAGGATTTCAAAATTTTCAGTTTGTGAAATAACATATTTGATGAAGGGCTATAATCTTTTTTAGTGATAACTCTTACGGCTCTTTTCTGTAAAACAAAAATTGGATTTGTAATTGTTTTGCAAGTTTTACCCCAGATTTCAATACAGTAAATAAAATATGGAACAATTATGGCACTACACAACACAAACAGAGCTTTGTCATTAAATAACTCCCTGATTTTATACAGTACTCCTTTAGATTTAGATATTTTTGTTCTTAAATAATATATGTGAGGTCTCCATGTCTGACTTTCATGTAACTGCAAATTTATTCCAACTTCCAATGTATTGAACACACTTTTCTTATAAAATTGGTGACCCCGACGTGATTGGATAATCCTATAATTTCCTACATATATTTTAGCTGATGCCTGTAGGTTTGCCTTCAGTTATCTTGTTACCTTTCCCCCATTCATATTTTACTGAATAAAAAAAGCAGAATAGACTAAATAAGACATGAGAGGACAGACAGTATGTTCCCATCTTCCAGGTAAACCATGTGAGGACGAGAGACTTTGACTGCTGCCTGGCAGTGCCGCTCATCACAGAGGCTGGAGACAGACTGGAGCTGGTCATCAGCCGAAACCCAATGGCCAACGATAATCCAGAGGACAATAACAACACTTTGGACCACCCGCTGGACCTGTAACGCACACGCTACACCCCCCGGTAACGAGCGACAAGCTGAAAACACATCCTGCAAGAGCCGGCCCGAGTATAAACCTGCAATAAGAAAGAGAGGGAAAGTTCTGAAATCTGCACATCAACACGTGCATGCAGTCACTCCCTCATTTACATTCACCTGTACTGCTGTTATACAGTAGTTTTTATTGTTTTTATACAGAAACAGGACATCAATGTAACGAGACAAACACAAAAACAACAAAACTACCAAGAAGCTCCAACATCTGACACATTTATAAAGTCTTTAAAGGGATCCACTATTAGTTGTAACATTAGACTTTATTT